ATGCGTCCCTTCACAAGGCAGAGCGCGAGGGATGGCTCGGGGGGGATGGCCGCTGCTGGGAGCGTATCCGGAGCGGATGGAGCAGAAGTGTGGTCCATGCTGGGCCACAAACGAGGATGTAATTGCTCTGAGCCGCTTTCCTGCAGAGCTGCACCGTCTGAGCCAGACTGGATTTTGCTCCTGGTGACAGAACTCAACCCGGGTTGGGTTACTGCTGACTTAAATTAACATTTTCGCCGTGGTCTCCTCTCCCTGTCAGCTGAAGCCTGGACCGAATCCTCCTGTAGCTCTGTTTTGGGGAGCAAATCGTCATGTCCTTGAGCACCAGCTCACAAGCTCTCCCTCGCCCACTCCCCAGGGGTATTTATAGCACTAAACCTTTGCAGTGCTGGGGAGAGGCTGGTTCCCAGCGGCCAAGGCGCCGGAATTTGGGAACCTGCCCCAGCTCTGCTGCAGTGTAGGGTGGGGGGACAGGCTCGGGGAGGATGGGGGAACCAAATGCAGCCGTGCTCCGTCTTTCCAACCTACGCAGCCTTGCAGAAGCGGTTACACATCCTCTTGATCGCTGCGGAAATATGTGAGGAATCAGCATTTCTGACACGCGGGCAGAGGAACATATGGCCCAGCGTATGCAAATGCATTGTCACTGGGGGCAGAAAGCAGAGGGGTTCCTGGTGAATGTTTCTGAGCAGAACAGAGGGCAGAAGCGTAAAAAAAGGAAAAAAAAAAAAAAAAGAAAAAAAACCGATGGCAGCAAATCAAATCCTGAGCAGATCTGCAGTATCTAGGTTACCTTAATTATGTTCGGCTAAATATGGATGCCAATTAATTAGAAGGCTGCTGATTTCCAAAGAAAATTAGTTCGCTCTTAATGAGCTAATCAGCCCCTATTTAAAAAAAAAAAAAATGAAATTATTAGGTTGTAGAAAGGCGTGTGCAGCCGCTTGACACGGAGTGCCGAGGTCCGCTCCGGCTGGGATTTACTGGGTGCAATATTGCCAGGATTTCCACACAGGGCTGACGAGCCCTTTGGAACAGGCTGCAAACAGCATCGTGCTCCCTCTGCTCTTATCCCACTGGGATCAGGCTACGTTCGCCAGAAAACACAGGATAATTTGCTGGTGATGACGAGTTCTTAGCTCAGGATTTAGGACCACGAGGAAGTGGTGTGTGGATGGGCATCCTCACAGCTCGGGCTCGGAGGTGTGGCGGGGGAGGCTGGGATGGAGGCTGGAATGCTCCGAGTGCTCCTGGTTTTCTGAATATTAATAAGAGTCAAGCTGTGCACTGCAATTAAAACGTTGATTATAATTTTTTCCATCTGTAGCTGATTCTACTCCAGAAATCCAAGAAAAATTCGGAAGAGATGTGAATGTTACAAGGGGAAAACATCAA